ATCTGATGGGTCTATGGGAGGTAATTGGCAGAAGGAGGCCTCTCAAGTACCCAGGTCCAATACCATGTAGGGCTTTATAAGTGATGACTAGCATCTTGAAGTGTATCCGGAGACCAATAGGCAGCCAGTGCAGCTCGCAGAGGTTAGATGTAACGTGGGTGTACCGAGGCGCACCCACAATCGCTCGCGCTGCTGTTCGTGCACGCATGCGCGCTGGGGGTTGTGAGCATGGCATTATGGGTGTGGCATGCCCGTGCACGATCCCCCTGTTCTCCTTCCACTTTTGGCACGTGAGGCAAAAATGTTTAGCCATCACTGTACTACATCATCTCATTCCTTTCTGTATCAATCACTTCTGCCAATCCTCAGCCTGAAATAGAAAGGAGGAGGAAAAGTTCTTTCCTTTTCCGTTTACAAGTACTTTTTTTCTTGTCTACATGGAACTAATTTTAGCTCCACCCTGGCTAGCAGAGCAACAAATGTTTACAAATGAGCATGATATAATTATGATTTCCCCTGGGACGACTCCTTTGTTTCTGTGGATGAAGCTGAGCGAAGCCAAAGAAGCAGAACATTCAGTTCTGTCGAGAAGTGAGCCCAGCAGCCCATCTCTCTCTGTAGTAGGATCCAGAGGACAGGAGAGGATCATCAGTTGAAGGAAGAGAGTATGGAATCAAGAGAAAGCATACAGCTTTGGCTTAAAGATTTTGTACCTTGGCCTAAACATCTAAAGAGCAAGGTGTGTGAGGGAGATCAACAAAAGTCAAGATGAAAGACATGAGTGTTATGATCTAGGTTAAAGAAGGGGCGAGGTTTGTTCACATGGCTGTCAGCTTCTTCGTGAATTTTTGACACTTTCCTGGAGATGCCCCTGCTGACGATTAAGACAAAAAGGGTTGGGATGGAGTAAGGGACATTCAGTTCTTCCCCGAATCTCTGATGTGCTATTGAAATACCAACCCGCTCTGGAAACTCCTTTCCCCAAATCTATCTTTAGTAAATCAATTTGATGCCCTGTTGTATCTTTAATAGTTGCTAACCAGGCAGTACAAGCATAAGACTGCGAAAGGAAAAGGACAAAATGCGAAAACGGCTAGACTATGATGTTGGAATAAAAATATGGTAGTGACTGCAGAAATTGACAGGAGAGTATTAGTGCCTGAATTAGCACAGTGATATGTGATCTGATTGAAACATTTAGTGTTTTATTAAATACATAAATCCAATTGAAGGTGCCACACTGCATGTCCTAATGAACTGTTATTTAGCAGTTTTCCATGGCAGGATTTTTTTTTGACTCTCCTCTATTTGAAGATAGCTGCACTGAAGAGCCTAAAAAGACCATGGGACAGAGGAAGGCACTTTGAAAAACAAAACAAGCACTAAACATCAGCATAGTACTCTGTTATCAAGGAAATGGACCATTTGGTTCTCCTGTCCATCAAAGGTTGGACAGCAAGAGAAATAAGAACTCTCTCCCTCAGCAACTCCAAGAAACTAGATTCTAAAAATGAAAGCATCCACCTCTGGATAGTCATAACAACCTTCGGTATCAAAACACAAAATTTTCACGAAGATTTATTGAAGAAGAAAGGGGATTACAGGTCTTTCCCAGGTTCCGAGAAGATTGAAATATCATGTTAACATTTCCGAAGATGGTTTATTGAACAAATCACAATGATTGGATTCACATTTCAGTAATCTCAAACCAGACAAACTTTATTATGGCGTATTGCAGTGCATTCTGGCTTACTGTTATTTCATCCCTTCGTCCAGGGGTGCAAGTGATGCACAATTTTCTCCACAATATACCATATTTTTCAGAGTACAAGACGCACCTTCCTGCCCCCCAAAAGAGGGTGAAAATCTGGGTGCGTGTTATACACTGAATACAGCACTTTTGGCCTCCTGAAACCCCGCCCCCTTCGCAAAAATGGACGTGCAGAGGCTTTGGGAGGCATGCAAAGTGCTCCTGGGGGTTGGGGAGAGCAAAAATGAGCAAAAGACAGGCCAGATTTTGCTCGTTTTTGCTCCCCCCCCCAGCCCCCAGGAGCACTCTACAAGCCTCCCAAATCCTATGATGCCCTGGTATTTTTGCAAAAAACGGGCCCATTTTTGCAAAGAACGGGCTGTTTTTTGCTCGTTCCCGCCCCCCCAGCCCCCAGGAGCACTTTGCAGGCCTCTCAAACATTCTGCATGCCCCATTTTTCACAAAAAAATGAGCTGTGCAGATGGTTTGGGAGGCCTGCTGAATGCAAAAAACTTTGTTTTTAATTTACCTCTTCCAAATCTTGGTGCCTCGGATATATCTAGCTTCTTCACTGCCCCTTATCCTATCACACATACACACACACACACTCCTGTGGCTGCACGCCGTCGGAGCGATCCTGCCGAGCTTTCGTTCCGGCGAAGCGTTGCAGCCGATCTGTAAAGGCAGACCGGGTGGGTGGAAAGAAAGTGGGGAGAACCTTGAAATGGGGTGGAGGGACACAATACAGTGAGATAGGGGCAAAGTGAGAGGGGCAGTAAGGCCAAAGCAAGGAATGACACCATGGTGACAGGCAACTCAGGGCTGATTTGTATCAAGAAAAGAAATTCAGAAGGT